TAATACCTATGTCATACTCATGTTATTATACAAATTTGTATCCTCATAAACCACATAAACATGCAGACATACACCTCAACATGTGACCCCATCACCGATCACTACAGGATTACCCAACCTCTCTAGCATGCTTAACCACATGGTAGCCTAGTGTACAGAGGACTTGTATGAGTCACAGTACTGCTTTAAATACATAGTGCACTGTAGCTCTGAACAGTGCTGTTCTCTGTGTATCAAAAGACACTACTGTACACCATATAAGTATAATATAAGCCTAGCTGTGAATTTCTATGCATAAAGATAAAAATATAACCCATGCAAACAATATTATTATATTAGTCCATTAAAAAAGAGTGTTCTAAATGTTTGTTGAACTTAAAATGGAATGCACGTTTAAATCAGGGGTCTTTAGAAGAAGGTCTGAAAGTTAGGGGGTCCTGACATTATAGTTTGATCCCAAAATAAAGTTTGTGAAACAAATAAATAAAATACGCAGATTTCTAACGTTTCCAACACGTAAGTTCAATTAGCTAAATGTTGCATTGTCCCTTCCACATTAGCTAAATAAAATCAAGTATATAACTCTGTACATCAGAAATGGTTATTTGCAGTCTAAGCGTCTAATAAAGTATATAAATACTTTAATATAGGCTAGTGTATTTTCATACTGTTTGTCAGAGGGGATCCCGTCTTCGTTTCTATCTTTTCTTCCACTAGAAGGCAGCAACGAGATGCTGTTGTTGAAATTCATGAAGCATTTGTGCAATCATTGCTTGTATATTCGTCAAAAGCCACACTTATACGATTAGTTCTGACATATACTTCTGAAAGGTTTGCTCTTTCAGTTGCCTGCAATGGCAGTGTGTGTGTGTGTGAGAAAGACAGATTTCACAGAGTTGTTCACAGAATGTGAGTGGATTAGTGCTTCCTCTAGTGGAAGAGTTAGAACTGGAAGAAACACCTGAATGAAAAGAACTAAATTGCATCTTAATGGACTAAATAATAATAATAATAATAATAATAATAAAACTAAATAATAACAAAAATACTAAAATATTTTCAGCTTTGGTACAAAAACACTTTCAACATTGATAAACATGTTACTTACATACTAAACATGCGCACTTATGAAACTACACTAACCCTAGAAATACAAAATATCATAAATACAAATCTCAAACAACCACTTAAAATACACTAATATAGGCTACACAATGTACCTTGTGAGTAAATTTAAGCAAAGACCTATACAAATGATGATGATAATAATAATAATAATAATAATAAGAAGAAGAAAATTAAGCAAATAAAACCTATAATAATAATAATATTGCATTTTTGGAGCATTTTTCATAGTTACATTCTTGTATTTTACATAAATATTTTTCTCAGTCGGTTACAGGAGAGATAATTCATAAAAGTCATGATTGTAGGCTACTTGTATTTTGACAATTTACAGAAGAGGAAGCAATATTTGAAAGCTTCCTGTCTTTGATTTGGCTGCATGTTTGGCAGGCTTTCGCTTGACACTGACAGCTGAAAAGAGGACAATAAACATGAGATCCACGTGGAGGACCGGTGTTCCGGCGAATTCAGTTCCCCTGTTCCCCCCTCACAGCGCCTGCGCAACTTCGCAGTGTTGCCAAGTCCGCGGTTTTCCAGCGGTAGTTTTTAGCAGCAATTGGGCGTTTCTTTTTTAAATATCCTGGCAACCCTGAAACTTCAGCACTAAAATCATGACTTCATGATTTCGCCCGGGCTAAGCAAGTCAGCTTATGGTGGGGTTGCTGTCTTTCTGCAAGCAACGTTAATTTCACCATGTTATTTAGATCATTTGTAATTAAATAGGTATTCATGTACATGACGTCCTGTTCAATCGCAACATAGAGTCAGATTTCTTGCTAATTCTAACCTTTTCCTGTTTTATGAAGTGTAACACCATACATTACAATTAGACAGTTCAATTCCTTCATCAGGGGCATTCTTTTGTTCAGACACCCATTTCCATTTGATTGTTATTGTTGTTGTTAGTGTGTGTGTGTTTCTGTTAAACAACTTAAGCCTTGTCGAAATAACAACAAATAAACCATATTGCACAATGACTAGTCTCTCTTTTATTATTTTAGGTAACTCAGAGTGATGCTCCTGATGTGTTTTTAAAATGTCATAATTACATCTAACCACATTTATCTGCAGAACACTTTACACTGAAAACACAAGGGACAGATTTTTCCAGAGGCCTGAGAAAAGTGGTTCCCTCCCAGTATATTACCTTCTGAGGATTTATAGATTCAAGATTTTTATTTGGCGCAAACATGGTTATATAGAGAATATATGACCAGCAGTGAAATGTAAGTCAGGTCCGCTCCATGGACAGTGCAATTATTAAAGAATACAAACACAAGAAAATTAGATATAAATATAGGTATGGATTTATTTTATTTTAAATGCGCAGGACAGTATACTGTAGACTTAATACATATTAAGATGAGCAGGAATGTACAAGAAAAGAATGTGCAAACAGGTTATATACAGGATTTATAACACAATACAGTGATACTGGTTATGTTTTTCAATGTCATAATTATGTCTAACCACTTTCATCTGCAGAACAGTGTTTTTACATTGGAAACACAGGGGGAACATCGGGACGGGAGAGGAAACGCCTCCAAATCAACGGTAGAAACCAATCGTGTTTGTTTAATATATTTAATTTAATCATATTCATGCAGATAAAGACTTAAGTCAGCGAATGAGATAAAAAAGGATGTTTGGCATTTCTTCTTTGATTTTGGCCATTGGTTGTACTCAAAGAGCTTTACACTAATACATACTCTGCAGTGGGCAGAATTATAGTATTAAAAAGTACATTTTTTTACAATAAGGTTCTCAGACGGGGCCTGTGTAATAACAGAAGTTTGTCACAAGAGGGCGACTCCACAATATCAATTAAACCTTTATACCCTGATTTAGCTATTCAATCAAAGGACAAGCTGTGTTGCAGGTATGTCATCACCGGCTCAATGATTTTGAATATTGTTTAGGTGTTGTCCCATATGTCACTCGATGAACTATAAAGTAACTAATTGAGAACCAAATGAAACAGTATTCAGAAAAAATCTTAATTTATTTAATTAAAATAAGAAATTTACAACACATACATGCATTCAAATGCATCTAGAGACAGCCTTACACCCCACAACCACCCTGCACCATCAATAATATGATTATCTGTTTGTTGTTATCAAATCAAGACTCCTGGAAGCTCTAGAGATGATTATTTTACAAGGCAACTTTTTGTGAATTTTTGTATGATGAAACATTGGGTAACACATTTGTGCAATGAAAAACCTGGTTTCATCTCTATATAACATATCGTTGTACTGTCAGGCTTAATCTTTTTGTAGATGGCATTTTGAAGTTATAACTAATTAAAATTCCGTAATTCAACTGGCGAGTAAAATGGCTGTTCAGTCAGTTTTAAGACCTATCTTTTTCCCCAGGAAGACAATTCCTTTGGACAATTCCAGAACAGGTACAATAATGAGCATTTTGTTATAATGTACTCACTCTCATTGTGTTAACCAAGCATAATTTTCCCCAAAACATAAAAGTAGTCCACATGAGCTTTGTTGGAGGTCTTCTCAAGTTATACATTTGCTTTGCTTGAGGAATAGACCAAAATTGAAGCCTTTATTCGCTGATAATCTTCCCTTACAAATCTCTCAAATCTCATTCATGCTTATTTTCAGTTAGAAGTAAAATGTCACCCTTAGAAGAATTGTGCAAGGTTTGACATCATGAGGCCCAGCGGCATTGTTTCTCATGTCACATGAACAATCCTGGCAGGACAAGTTTGAGGGGGGTTTTGTGGGGGAACACAACTGAGATTTGAGAGTTTTGACAGAAGCAGGGCTCCTATTGTGTTTTCCAGTTGGGCTACCAAAATGTATCACCACTCTGCCCGACGGGCTACCTTAAATACAGATCCCCCGCGGGTTCTTAAAAACTATGGAAGCATATAGGTAGCAAAATTCAAATGCAATATGCAATATGCAAAATGGCAATGCAATATTCAAAATGACAACGCAATATTCAAAATGGCAATGTATTTCTGTATTTAAATGTACATTTTCCATTACCCACACATGCAAAATTTGTTGCAAAAGGAAAATTTAAATTTTATTATATAATTTACATTTGCCATTTCCAACAGTAGTCTTAATATGTAAACTGAATAAAAATGTTAACACTTTATAAGTTGCAAAATGAAAATGAAAATATATAACACAAATTGATTTGATATGTGTAGCATGTCCAAGCAGAAATGGTAGCAAAATTATCATTTAAATGCTATTTGTCCTAAATGCATTTAAACTAACAGTTAGAACAATTAGGATTGCATTTTCATCATGACACTGTGGGATATGTGTAGCAAAATGTGGAGCTGCTTTGTGTACAGCCATTACTGGGGAAATCGCAATATTTCAGCGCTCCTAAAGCGCCACCTTGTGGCAGAGAATGAATTTGCATTTCCAATAAGCCTTTCTTGCTGTTTATAGTCAGATCAATGCAAATATCAACTCGTGTTTTTATGCAGCAAACACATAGAGTTGTAAATGAGAAAGAAGTTAATGTGCCTTCTAAAAATCTAAACAATCTAAAGTAATATGTAACAATTTATATTCTTGATTTATCCCTTTTCATAAAAATGGTCTGAAGGCTGAAATGCTGTTGTATAAGATTTTTGTTTTTGTGAAAACCTGTATCTGAACTGTAAATCATGTAATTTTATGGCTCAGTACTGTATGTTACCACATACATTGTCCAAGCCCACTCATACTGTGTTCATTTTACTTGTGCAGCTCTACATATATATCATTTTTTAAAATTTTTTATTTTTAAAGGTCTATTTTTATTTGGGCTAGTTAAATTAATTTTTGGGCTACCAAAATTTGAAGGGTACCTGCCCGAAGGGCTACCAGGGATTTTTAAATTTTGCGAGCCCTGAGAAGGAATATATGAGTGAACAACTTTTGTGTTTTTGGAGCTTGGCAGTAAAAAAATAAAAATTTAAAGAAGAAAAAATAAACTAGAGAAAGTATTATATTTTGGTACAAAAGAGTGAGTAAATCATAAGTTACATTTCAAAATGATCTTTTCCTATAGTACAAATGTGTTGTTTTAATTAACCCTTGTTGTCCTACACAAATCTGTGTCTGCGAGTGAAAGTGACTTGACCATACTTTTAAAATTCCAACAGAAACTGTACAATGACTAGGCTTCAAAGTTGATATTCTAGTACTGGTAGCACAAGTGCTCAGTTAAAAAGCTGTGAAGGAATTATGAAATACTTTAGATTAACAATGAAATATGTATCTGGACATTTGTGAACAGTGCATTTGCATTCAACATGATATCATCTCACTGTACACAGAGTCTCTATGAGCCTGTCTGCCAAGACATTGGTGATAAAGATTCATGTCATATAAAAAGAAAGAGAGTGTGCAAAACTAGCAATTACAGCAAACAAAACATTCATATAACTTTTCCACCCTGTAGTGAGACTGTACAACTGCTTGAGGTTAAGGCAAGAAGCACTGGATTGTTTGGATTAGTGGGAGGTAAAGCATTTGGTTGGATGTGCACAGATTAAAGGTGCTGTAAGCAATGTTAGCCATTCTGGAACTTCTGCATGAATTAATCTCTAAATTAGACTCGCACACACTTTCCATAACTCTTACCATTGTAACCAGAGATTAGCAGGAAAACAGTAGCACATCTCATTGTTGCCATGGTTGTTCAAATCTAAATCAGTGATCCTCAAATCTAGCTCGCGAGATCCACTTTCCTGCAGAGTTTAGCTCTAACCCTAATCAATCGCGAGCCAGATTTGAGGATCACTGATCTAAATGCTAGCAAAATGGAATCCTTGCATGACAAACCAACAACTGTCAACTGCTTATGAAACTTAATATGGTGCTTAACTTGAATTATTTAAGTTAAATTATTCAAGTATTCAACTGCCACACTCCTAGACACCTGCTTCCTATTCACTGGCTGCCCTATGAATGCACAAAACGACTGACAGGCAGAAAATGCTAAAATGGCTAAACAAAAGAATCTGACCGTGGTCAATTATTTGAAGTTTACAGAATATACGGCTGCCACAGAGACAGATGTGATGGTTTAGGAACACTAATTCAGTGAAATGTGTGAAGTAAGAGTGTCATTTTATTAAACAAAATTGCTTACTGCACCTTTAATAGGAACTTAATCATAAATGCACATGGCTGACATCCTAAGATTTTAATTTAAGTAGTAGATTTAAAAGGAGAAAAGCTTTTAGTGGTATGTACAAGTGATGCTATTGTCTTGAGTTTCGAGCATCTCCTGATATCTTAAAATCTCTTGTGACATCATGTTTCTTCCCGATACATTTTGTGAATTGTGCCCCACTAGTACATTCACCATTTTAAAACCATTCGGACCTCATATCTCTGTGGCTACAATTTTTTCAAAGTTCAGGTCAGAGCTATGGCTGTCCATGTCCATCTCTGTGCGACTGTCCATCTCAGCCGTTAGCTCCCTCAGAATCTTCTCCAGGTCCTTGTTCTTTCTGTACATCTGTAGGTAATTGTACTGCAACTGCTTTTGGTATCTGATTACTTTGTCTTTCTCTTTATTCCATGTTTGTCTCTCCTGCTGGAAGCTATTCATCATCTTATGTTTCTTTTGCTTCTCTTCCTTCAGTTCCCCTCTCAGCCTCTCTACTTCCTTCTGTAGGGCATCCAAGTTTGCAGTCCCTCCATTATGAGTCAGTGTTTTACTGGCACTTGTTCCATCCTGGGCTTTCGATTTGGCTTGACCAGTCCCAAAAGCCTCCATCCGGGCTTGGCTTATCTGCAGTTGCAGCTGTTGTTCCTCAACTTTGGCTCTCATGGTCATTAGCTGCTGTTGCTCCTCTTTGGCCATTGCTAAGTCCTGCTTCATGCTCTTGATGTCCATTTCCAGCAAGTTCACCTTCTCCCTGAGGAGGTCGGCTTCATTCTTCTTTCTTTGAAACTCATTCTTAGACACCTTTTTCAAAAGAGATATCAAAGTCAGTCATATTTGATGGTACGTCATGGAGTAGTAACTGCAAGTTAATCTAATATCAATGAACACTGACCTCAACCTCAGCGCTTCGCTGGTGAAGTGCTTCCTCATACTCCTTGATCTTCTTTTCCAGTTCTTCCATCTTACATCTGGACTCCTTCTGAGAGGCTTTGAGACTGACAATCTCACTGAGTTTGTTTCCAACATCGGCCTGGGAGTCCCTAAGTTGCTGCTTTAGCAGAGAAATCTCACCTGACTTCTGGCACACCTACAAAAATAACAAAAATTATGAATGTGTTAAGTAGTTTTTGTAACAATTTTGATCCCAATTATCCCAGCTGTTCATCTTTTAAATTGACCTCTTTATCAAACACAGAACACATAGATTTTCATTGTATCCACATTTGTCACAATAAAGTTTTATAGACTGACCTCCCACTGAGTCTCTTCTAGAGTGGGTGCTAGGTTTTTCTGGCTCTCATAGATTCGGAGTCGGCTTTCTGCAGTGTCCCAGTCATGATTAAGCTGGTCCACCTCCTCCTGCAGACGTTCCTTGTCCTGTTGAAGTTGTATCACCTGAAGCTGTAATAACTGTTGGGCTCTCAAAGCCCTCTGAGACACCTGCAGGTTACACAAACCATCATTAAGATCTGCCTGGATAAATTTGAAAAGCGTATTTAGTTTTTTTTTGTTTAGTTTAGAGTTTTATTAATCCCCTTGGGGCAATTAATTCAGACTTTCGTGGTGCTTCACATATACAACACTTAACACACACATACATATATTAAAAAAAAATACACCAAATACATAAAAATAAAAGGGGAAACAAATTTAAGTAAAAAAAACAAATTCACTAAATAAATCATCTAAATTAACTAGATTTATTACATAAACTTATTGCTTCAGGCACAAAAGTAAATTTGTACTGGTTTGTGGAACATCTAATTGACCTTAAATGTCACCCAAGGGGCATCCACTCAAAATAATCATTCAAAGGGTGTGTGCAGTCTCCTATAATTTTATGTGCCGTCCTCATCACTTCCTGTTCATAATAAAATGTAAGACTTCGCAAGGGAACACCTAAAATTTTTGAGCACACATACACCAAATACATAAAAATAAAAGGGGAAACAAATTTAAGTAAAAAAAACAAAAACTAATTCACTAAATAAATCATCTAAATTAACTAGATTTATTACATAAACGTATTGCTTCAGGCACAAAAGTAAATTTGTACTGGTTTGTGGAACATCTAATTGACCTTAAATGTCACCCAAGGGGCATCCACTCAAAATAATCATTCAAAGGGTGTGTGCAGTCTCCTATAATTTTATGTGCCGTCCTCATCACTTCCTGTTCATAATAAAATGTAAGACTTCGCAAGGGAACACCTAAAATTTTTGAGCACACATTAACAATACCTTGCAAATGATTTTTGTTCTTTGTAGACAATAAGGAAAACCAACAAATAAAGGAAAAGGACAATATAATTTCAACAAATGAATTATAAAAAGTCCTGAGAATGACTCTCTGTACATTAAAGGAATTTAGCTTCCTCAGCACAAACAATCTTTGATTGTTTTTTTTTATTTGGTTGACCATCAAGGTAAAATAAGGTACTCTTATTGGTTTTGGAGTCACACTAAACTATATGTTCACCTCTTCAAACCTATGAATATTGTAAGCAACTTACTTGACGGAGTTTTGTAGAACAGTGCTGTTTCAACCCCTCCATCTCCTCAGCACAGTAGCGTTGCTTCTCCTCAAATAGATGACATGTGTCTGTCTCCTTCTCCTCAAGGCTTGTTTGTAACTCTGCCAGCTCGGTTTCACGTTCTAGAAGTTTCTGCTCCAGCTGCTGTATCAGTGATTCATCCATTGAAATTGGTGATCGGACACAGCCCCCAGAAGATGACGGTTTTGTTGGGATTTGCTCTGAAATTGTAAATCTCTGTTCCAGAAGCAGCTCTTGGTTTCCAGAGAAATCCATCTTTGGCTCGTTGGATGAAACCGTCAGTGCTGCAGCAGTTATTTCTCTGTTCAGACTTATTGCTGCTGCCACACTTTCACTTAGGACACCAATGGATCTTGTATTGCCATTTGTCGACTCACTGTTTGTTTCACTAAATCCATTGGCCCAACTGTTTCCACCATTAGTCCCACTACACATCCAACTGGTTCCAGAGTTTCCATTCATCCCTGCTACACCTCCCTGTGGTTTCTGAGATGTGTCCATGTTTTGGGCAAGGCATCCATGGCGTGCCATGTGGTTATTTGAAGTGCTTAGGTTGTCCATCTGGCTGCTACCACTGATGCTTTGAGTGGGCAGGCTGGACATAGAGTTCCTTCCAGAGTCAGAGAAGGTACCAGAATTTGTCTCCAGCTTGGGGTCCTGAAGATCTTTTAGCCTGTCTATAGGACTAATTCTCTTGCCAAGGATAGTGCTCAAGTTGTTATGAGTCTCCACCGAGGAACTGGTACTTCGAGGAAGAACTGGTTTGAATGCGGTGGGTCGAATTAAAACATTCTCTATACTCTAAAGAGAGAAGACAGAAAAATATAGATCAGTGTTTTTGGGATTTGAAGTGCACTGCAACCAATTGATCATTCACTTTATGGCAGGACACTCTCCATCTTAAAACCTATTGATCAGATGCTCTCAAAGTAATTACTCTCATAACTGCCAGGACATTACAACAAACCATTTTGCATAAATGATTGATCCAATCTCAAGACAACCCTTTCCTTCTTTCTGATTCCTCTCCTATTTTCCCAGTCATTTCCTCTTACTGATGGTAGCATGTTTACCCCATGGTTTAGCATTAACTTCCTGACCTAGTAAAACTGGGCTCATTTTCCTAGCTAGATTCTTCATAAATTAGGCAGTTCAGGGAAAGAGGTGCTTGCCTGCTTGCAAGTGCCACACCGCCATTGGACCGAATCTCTGGAGAGATCAAGGCATTCTTACCTCGTCAATCTGAAGGTTTAATTAAATGGAGCAGACACCGCTAAGCTCTTGGTGAAAGTGTCAGGGGCTGGTGGGGATTACTTAATATCAACTATACTTGACTGTTGTTTGATTTTGTGTGATAACAATGTCTGGGGGATGGGCCATCTTTTGGGTTTGGCTGCTTGAATGTGGACTGAACATGCTTCCTAAACAGACATGTTGCTTTGCGTACATGTTTAATGGAATTGTACTGAGTTTTTATAGGCGTGAAATACTACCATAATACACAACAATATAGGCAGTGGAGAAATTAAACTCTTGACGATGTTATGTTATTTTGGCAATAAAAATTAACTTTTTGTAGTTCAAACCTTGCTTATTCTCTAGCTTACTCTAGTTCTGTTACCTTTTCTAGTTTTCCAGACAGCGAAACTAATTCTGATGGCCCTCCTCTCCTGTCCACCTCATTGTCCGTCTCAGTTGTTCTTCCTTGACTGTCTTCAGCTGTATTAATGTTAGCAGTTTGGGGCTTGTTGCTGACCTTGATGTAAAAGAAGTCGTCGTTTTTGCCTGAATGATAGCTGACTTTTGAGTTGTTGTTGGTGCTGCAATGATCCTGAGTGAAGCCATACTTCAGAAGGCCATCCAAGCTACGGCATGTTTTCTTAGACTGAAGCCCCTTTTTGAGTTTGTTTTCAGAGCCTTTGCAGTGTTTGCTGTGGAGGCTATGGCCTGATATCAAACTGCTGACACTACCCATGTTTCCTGGGACATCTGGAGAAAGCAGGTGGTGGTCTTGGTGGTGGCAGGTGTGTAATTACAGAATTTTAATGATGGAGGAAGGTCTGACGGACTCATAGCCTTGTGTGGAGATCCTTCTTATTCTCATTTGGGAAACCTGGTAAGACATGGATTTTAAGAAATGAAGTGAGATGTCTCCTGTTGTCATTAGAGCAGTATAGCACCAGAGTCTATGCAGAATTTGTCTTAATGTTTACTTTACTTAACGTTCACTAGGTCAGCAAACACGAACTACAGTAAGTTTTGTTGGCTCTTTGCCTACATGCGATACGATAGGGGTAGACCTAATGGCAGTTACCCTGAATATCCTGATTTACAATATGGAGACCATACTAAATGCACGCTTTGAACAAGTACCAAGAACACCCTCCTCTTTGACAAACAAAGGCAAATGCAAGCTTGAAATTAGTGTGACTAGGTCAAACATCTATTCATATTACTTGGTCAGTAGGTCAAAGACCTGCCAATTACTTTTTTTTCTTCTTGTCAGGCTACCAAAATACAATGAGTATGTTTACATCCACTTTGAGTTTGATTTCTGCCTGACTAAAATAACATCTTTTTTTAAAAATCATGTAAAAAAAAATCAGTCCAGTCCACCGTACCAGTCCAATTTTTATGAAGTTACATTTGGCCTCTTGTGCATTGTTTATTTGATCTTTCAAATGTATATTAAATATGTAATCCTTTAAAAATATTTGATTTGCTATGTACTGTATAATTGGACAGACTTTAGCTCGAACATAATGGTGCATGTAAACATACTTAACGTTTTTGCATATTTCATTACATCAAACAAGCATTATTTAGAAAAAAATCAAAAACAAACACGTTCCAACTTGTTTATGAGCTAACTTACAGCACATATTAGCGTACATATATAAGGTTTCATATGTAGGGCATAATATTGTAATCATGGGAGCTCACTAGGGAGATGGGACCTGTCAGTCACCTGATAAAAGTACAAGAGTACCAAGGGTCTGTCACCAGCTACTCAATCTTCTTTTATGATTCATATGATTCTAAAGCATATATTACACATCCATAATCAACACATCATACCTCCCATCTGTCTTTCAGAGCAGATAGCGAGGGGCTTTATGAACAAAAGATCTGCCATGATCATCACACGTGGCTTTGTATAACTGGTCTAATTGTGATGGCTGATATGTTAAAGGCTTATTAGCTAGAAAGAACACAGCAAATATGCCTACTGTTTAATATCACATTATGAATTCATGCATTCCAAAGAAATTTTCTTTTTATGTTATTTTGTTGTAACTTTGCTGCCTTGCAGCTGCTTTTAGATTAGAAAACCATATATGCAGCCACATCTGTGTTTGTGTCTAATCACTCCCTATTCCATAAGTTTCGCTGTTGCATGCTGTTTCAAAATCGAATAAAACGGACATAGGGGTATATATTAATGACCTCTTAAACATTGACTCAACTGTTTATATACTCTGTTATCATCGCCAGAAGGATGATATTTCACAAACAACTCAATTATCATTCATGTGGTTTTTATTCCGCATGTGCATTAATTAAATATGATTATTCAGTACTACTTTTGCATTCTTATAAATAAACACGATCTGTTTCAGCAGAAGGACTTAATGGCTTTAGGCAGCCCTTTGGCAGTCCCTTCCAATGAAAAGTGATCTCATCAATGTCTTTGTTTAAGATAGTCACACATATTTTTTCCTCGAGGCATGCCAAGCAGTAATGTAATGCTAATAATCTTCTTTTATGCAGCACTGCAAATGAATGACAATCCTGGATTTTATTATCGATTCAAATGTTCTGTTACAACACATAGTACATAGTTGTCATATATTAAAAATGCAATGAATCCCATTTAAAATAACTCCCATAAATCACTGGAACAAGCAAACTGTTCTTGTCAACCCATGGAGGGAGTATTTTCTGTGATGAGTTCAAATAATAATAAAAATGAACATTCATGAGAAGCAAGCTGTATGCACTGTGTTTTGTGTTATTGCATTATTTGTTTATATAAAAGGTACAAAACAGTCAGCAAAAGTCAAGTCGGATATTGCATTGTGCTTTGATGCATGCACAGACCATGTGCTCCAGGTAAACAATCTCAGTTGGACCGTCTCAATGTCTGTTCTCATCAATGTCTTTGTTTAAGATAGTCACACATATTTTTTCCTCGAGGCATGCCAAGCAGTAATGTAATGCTAATAATCTTCTTTTATGCAGCACTGCAAATTAATGACAATCCTGGATTTTATTATCGATTCAAATGTTCTGTTACAACACATAGTACATAGTTGTCATATATTAAAAATGCAATGAATCCCATTTAAAATAACTCCCATAAATCACTGGAACAAGCAAACTGTTCTTGTCAACCCATGGAGGGAGTATTTTCTGTGATGAGTTCAAATAATAATAAAAATGAACATTCATGAGAAGCAAGCTGTATGCACTGTGTTTTGTGTTATTGCATTATTTGTTTATATAAAAGGTACAAAACAGTCAGCAAAAGTCAAGTCGGATATTGCATTGTGCTTTGATGCATGCACAGACCATGTGCTCCAGGTAAACAATCTCAGTTGGACCGTCTCAATGTCTGTCTGGCATCAGTAACCCAAAATCACCTCTTTTTACTCCACTATTACTATCAAGTTCAAAGGCTTACCAGAATAAAATAGATGACAAAATGACACTTACTCTTCAAACAGATAAATCCACAGACACTCTGTTTGTCCAATCTGAATCAAATCTCCTTCGCATGCTCTCCGTGGCAAGTCAGAATGTGTTTGTCCTTGAGTGAACCGCAGAATACTCTATAGTCTGCCTGTAGACAAGATTCTACCATGCAAAGGGGGTGGATCTTATCACCATTCACCAGTTTTTTCCCCCTCATATCTTTTTTTGGAATAACCGACATGCAAATGTTGCTGGGAGACGGGACCCCAGTGTCCCCTGAGGTCCCTTGGGGCAGAGACCATTACACCTCTTTACATAAGACGTGTGCCGCTAAAGAGATTAACTCACTGCTGCTTACAATGAGCTGCGTGCCCCCCTCTGTCACACTCACTTTTTCTCCCACTCTTTCTCTGTCGTACACATACACCCTAATACCTTAACATAATCATAATACATACAAAAAATGCACGTTTTGTGACTTTCACTCATTTTTTATCATTATCTTTTGCTGTTTTCTGTTCAAACACACACACACTTCTCCCAGTTGGCTCCCTTTGCTGCCCTCCCCTCCTCTCCAAACTGCCCTGCACCCACTCTGAACAAACACCCCTCCAGGAAAAGAAAGAAAGAAGAGCTTGATGTTCCCTCCTTCCGTCTGTCTTTGTCCACTGAAGTGTGCCTGTTTTGTGTGAGGTTCAGTGAGCTTGAACATTTATTTAGGCTGAATGCTAATTTTACACAAAATAAATGATTTTCTAACTACCTCTCAAAAAGAAGTGTGTTGCCGTAAAGTGCATGAGGTGTCTTTTTGTGCAGATGTTTCTGTTTGTATAAATCAACATTAAAATGCCAAAGCAGGCAAATATTTTAATAGCCTTAAAGGAACACGCCACTATTTTTGAAAATAGGCTCATTTTCCAACTCCCCTAGAGTTAAACAGTTGAGTTTTACCGTTTTCGAATCCATTCAGCCAATCTCCGGGTCTGGCGGTAGCACTTTTAGCTGCAGCTTAGCATAGATCGTTGAATCTGATTAGACCTTTAGCATCTCGCTCAAAAATGACCAAAGAGTTTCTATATTTTTCCTATTTAAAACTTCACTTTAATACCGACGGAAAATGAAAAGTTGCGATTTTCTAGGCCGATATGACTAGGAACTATACTCTCATTCCGGCGTAATAATTAAGGAACTTTGCTGCTGTACCATGGGTGCAGCAGGCGCAATGATATTATGCAGTGCCTGAAAATAGTCCCCAGCTACGTAACTTCCAATAAGCCTATTTTCATGCGCTGCGTAATATCATTGCGCCTGCTGCTGTTAATAAAAGTTTTGTCACACTATTAACTAACTATTGAATGCAACTTGCCTCAATAAACTCCTAATTTGCTGCTTTAATAATTAATTTAATAATCAATAGTTAATAAGGTAGTTGTTGTATGTTGTATGGTGTAGGATTAAGGGATTTATAATAGCAGGGGCGCTGTTTTTGAAGTAACTACACTCACAGCTTTACAAATAAATGTTATAATTCATTCATTCAAATAAATATGATATTATATATTTCATCTGTGTGTCTGATTTGAAGCGGGCAGAATGCTAGAGCTAATAAGCCGTAACAGGCGAAAATAATCGTAATTTTTGCCCTTCCAGTAAATGTTGCGCTGTAAACATCATTAACAACTTTAACTTGTCACTGCTGGCAAATGACCATGGTACAGTGGGGAAAAAAAGTATTTAGTCAGCCACCAATTGTGCAAGTTCTCCCACTTAAAAAGATGAGAGAGGCCTGTAATTTTCATCATACTCTGTATGTCTGATTTGAAGCGGGCAGAATGCTAGAGCTAATAAGCCGTAACAGGCGAAAATAATCGTAATTTTTGCCCTTCCAGTAAATGTTGCGCTGCAAACATCATTAACAACTTTAACTTGTCACTGCTGGCAAATGACCATGGTACTGTATATGCGAGATAATGCACGGCTAGCTGTGCATTAAACAATTTTAATTCATTCTCCGGAGGCAACCACCCGACGTGAAGTGAGTGAAGCCTCCACGTCGTGCATTAAAATTATTTAATGCACAGCTAGCCGCGCATTATCCCTTACTTAAAGTAGTATTTATAAGTGCAGCGCTACTTTGCTTACAGCGGTAACCAAGGAAACGTTATGTTGCTGCTGTTCAATAAGCGCCACCTGCTGTCAGAGAGTGAATTTGTGCTCTTATGCAGCCCGTCTGCTGTTTTTGTTTCATTCAGATATGTTTTATATAGCATAGTTTCACAAAGCTAAAGTCAGATTTTGCTTCAAATTTTGAAATCTATCTATCTATGCAGGTTTGGAGTAAGAAAAGTAAACATTATAAGATATAATTCCTGAAAATAGGTATTAATATTTACAATATTTGCAAATTTACCTTGTTTT